AAGATAGCATGGTAAGGTGATAACCAGTCCATCCCCAATATGACATCAAAATCAACCATATCTAGAAGAAGAAAATATACATGAGTCTCAAGACATCCAATCACAACTATACATGAACGATGGACTCAATCTACCACAATAGAATCACCCACCGGTGTAGACACATAAACAGGGGCACTCAAAGAATCACTAGGCATGACCAGATATAGTGCAAAATAAGATGACACATACGAGTATGTAGACCCTAGATCAAATAACACTGAAGCATCTCTATCACAAACCAGAACTATACCTGTGATAATTGCATTGGAAGCCTCAGCCTCGGGCCTAGCTAGAAGAGCATAACATCAGGGCTGGGGCCCACCACCCTTAACTAATCTCTGGGACGACCTGCTGTTGGTTGGCCTCCACCTCTAGCGGCCTGAGCTCCACCTCTAATAACTCTACCTCCACCTCAGAACCTCTACCTCCACCTCTAGCTGGCTGGGCGGGCTATGGAATACCTGGTGCCTGAACCATGGCACGGGAACCCTGATGTTGAGAGCTACTCGGTGCTCGAGGGAAAAACCTAGCAATATGACCCATATCACCACAAGTGTAACAAGCCCTCAGCTACTGAGACTGCTGACCCTGACGACCTGAATGACCACCCCGAATAATCTGAAGCGGCGGTGCACTTATAGGAGTAGGTGGTGCACTGTAAGACTACTAATCAAAATATTGCATCCGAGGACCACGGCCACCTGAAGCACCGTGAGAAACCTAGAGTGTTGACTGAAAAGGCCTAGGAGGATGGCCCCTACCATACGAATCCCTACCTCTAGACGAGGTACCACTAAATCTGCCTGAATGACGGGGCCTATTGTCCGACCCATGACCACCTTCCTATGACAGAACCATCTCCACTCTCTTGGCCACATTGGCTGCCTCCTGGAAGGAAATCTCACTCCTGTCTCCATAGCCATCTAAAGACGAATCGGCTAAATAAGTCCATCAATGAACCTCCTCACCCTCTCTATCGGTGGGAAGTATGATAAGAGCATGATGAGCCAAGTCGATGAATCTGGTCTCATACTGGTTAACAGTCATAGAACCCTGCTGGAGACGTTCAAACTACATTCGATAGGCCTCTTTCTGAGTGATGGGGAGAAGCTTCTCCAGAAATAGCTGAGTAAACTGCTCCCAAGTCAAAGCTGGCAATCCGGCTGGTCTAGCCAAACAATAATCCCTCCACCAAGTCTTGGCGGATCCAGACAAGTGAAAAGTAGCAAAATCGACCCCATTGGTCTCAACTATCCCCATGTTCCTGAGAACCTTGTGACAGCTATCTAGATAATCCCGGGGATCCTTAGAAGATCCACTGCTGAAAGTAGTAGTGAAGAGCTTGGTGAACCTATCCAAACTCCACAAAGCATCGACAGACATAGCTGCTCCATTACCGGTCTGATATACCACACCCAGCTGAACTACTCCAACTGGCTGAACAGCTGGAGTCTGGAACTAGGGAGTTTCCTGCTCTAGAGTGCGAGTAGCAGGAGTCTGGGCTCCTCCTCTAGCCTGAGAGACGACCGGTGCTACAAGAAGCAAGCCTGCCCAGGTGACGCTCTCCATAAGGCCCACTAGGCGAACCAGAGCATCCTGAAGAACTGGGGTGGCAACACTACTAGAAATTAGACCTATCGCAATGCTTGTCTTGCAACGGATTTATAACCGTTGCCATAACATGTCAGTTGCAACGGTTAGAACCGTTGCAAAAGAATATTGACTCAATCTGAACACTTTCAATACTAAACCGTGGCAATAGAGGAATAACTGTTCCTGTAGATCTATATATTGGAACGATTATTATAACCATACCAATAGGTTCTCTTATGGCAACGGTTTGATGATGAAATATATCTATTGCAACGGTTTTCAATAAAAACAAATTCCAATTGGCTTTCCCTATTTTCTTTTTTACTTTTTTATATCCCCTCTCTTATTTTTATTCTCTTTTAATTTTCTTTACATTTCTATTCTCTTACCCTAATTGATAGAAAACCTCAAAAAAATTCCACCACTACTTATCGACATCACTGTTTGCCGGCGGTAACACTGTTGTAGTTCATTCCATGGCTCCTTTTTTGTTTAATTGCAAAGAATCCAGATACCAGGGAGTATCCTTGTTCTCTGATTTTTGTGTTTATATAAATAAGTATTAGTTTTTCCTACTCCAAACAAAAGGGATGATTCCAAATCTAAAATGCCATTTTTCTCTAAAAATAAACCAAGAAAAACGTCGCAGACACATAGATCTATGGAGATAGAGCCCTAAATAATGATTCCGGCAAATAGTCTTGGCAACATCACTGACATCGTCGTCATTTGCGGAAGATTCATAATTTCGTATATTAAGAGTTTGATTATCCTGATATCGGTTAGAATCTAATATCTCATTCGTCTCTTACAATTTTTCTTAAGGATAACCAGCCTTTAAAATCCCTAATTGTAGGAATTTTTTTAGATTATTTATTTATGTGTATAAGTGAATAGATAGAGGAAAAGACTTAGTAGTCCTTATGTATGCTATAGGAGTAGTTTTGTTCCTACCTAAGTCAATTCCGCTAAATAGATATATGTGTATATTTTGTTGTTAATTGGGAATTGAAAACGAATTATGGCTTTCTTTATTTATGAGAAACAATTGCTTTCTCGAATGAGGACAATTCTTTTTCCTATTGCCGATTAGTTATAAAGTTCCTATGTACATTTTTTTTGGTTGAATCCATGCCACTTTCCAGAAAATTATGAGTTATAGTTTTGGCATGATATTATCTACCTTAGTATGTGCTATGTGATTAAACTGGAGTAGATATTGAATTGTGGATTGAACAAGTTGGTGGTTCTCTAATTTTTATAAAGCAAATTCAGAGAATCTAGAGCAGGTACGTGGTCTTCTAAGTGTTCACATTTAGATAGAGAGAATATTATGATTTTTCAAAGGAGGGGATATGCCATCTTCATATTTTACTGTTGTTCTTGACATATCTTTGGGAGCAGTATTTCTTCAAAATTAATTGTAATCAGTTGTATAGATATTTGAATACTTCTCTTTTATGTCTCTTTGGGGAGTAATGATCAGATGAAAGAGGCATTTAGCATATAATGATCATATGAAATTAGACAAAGCTAATAGCCTTGGATAAAATTGCCATGCCATTATGCAGAAATTTGTAAAAATGTTTCCTCCTGGTGGTTTCAAAAATTTACCTTGATCAAACATTGATAAGGAGGATCTTTGATTACATAATTGGATGAGTTCTTTGGTTTTAGCTTCTATATTTGCGATTTTTACAAGAACTTTTAATTGATTTTTATTGACTCTACTCATTAGTTAGCATGGCTTATTATAACTTTTTTTACAGCTGAATGCTCCAGATAAATTTAATATTTATAGTGTCGGTCTCATATTCCTGCGAATAGTTAGTTTCAACTCAAATTCTACTAAGTCTTAACTCCTTTGAATATAGGTTTGAAGTATGACCAGAAATAGGAACTTCAACCATGCGATGGATATCAACCTAACAACATGATGAAAAATAACTGGCACCTTAGCAATATTGAGCAGTGGTATTAAAGAAAAAATGAATCTATCTGCGTAGAAATGATGCTGTAACTTTTTCTTTTCCATTTGCCATTCTATTGTTTCTTAAAATTGATATGTGTGTATCAGTATTTTAACTCAACCATTATACAAAAGTACTACTCCATAAACTTTTATAAGGTGACTCATGAAGCATAGAAAACGAGAACTTTCTTAGTCATATATCTTATTTGTATGGATTGGATGTTTTGGATACTTAGGGCTATGCAATCCAGCTACCAGGATAAAGGAGCTTCACAATATCAGCATGTGCTCCAAATGTCTAACACTACCACCTTATGAAAGATAGTGTCACAGGACATACACTCAACTAGTCAATTGATGGTAGTTTTTAAGAATAAGTTATCGGATCTTGAAACTCTATAACAGTAGAGTTCCATCTCCTTTTAGTTATTCTGGTATTGCATCTCCTTTCAACTATTCTAGTACTTTTTTGTATGATGTTGTATCTTAGATCTAAACTGGCATATTGTTTACATATTTAGTTAAGAATTTTTGCTGAAAGTAACTTCTTAAATATGTTGTCACAAGATAGGTAATATAAAGTGGTACACTTGAAGCATGTGGAGTTTTGAGTGCTCCCTTTGTTGTGTTGATTCAATTTTGTAACTATGAAGAATTTTATAACTGATGGTTATAATGGAAGACAACATTATTGATCTTTATGATTGTCACTGCTTCTTCAGGACAGATTTGCAATGAATGATCTCTCTTACAAAATGCCATATGTATGTAGTCTTTACTTTATCTTTGGGTTTGCTTTGAATTTGAATTTAGGAAACTTTACTGACTGCTTTGAGTGTTCTTTAGTACTCAAATTGCACTTTTAAAGTTTTACTAAATCATTTATTTTTATCTTTACAGGTGGATTGAATGAGCAAAGAATGAATGAAGCGGCGAAGGCACTACTTAGAGTTATGAGATTGTTCTTGAAATTATTCGTGTATTAGAATCTTTAGGAACCTTTTATGTTGTATTATGCTTTTGAAATTGTACAATGTTATAAATTTATTTTTATACAAAGAAATAAAAAACCGTTGCAATAGCCTCCATAGATTGTTTCAATAGTATAAAAAATAGTTGCAATATCCATATAAATCAATGCAGTAGTTCCTAATAACGATTTCAATCTGTAATTAAAATAGTTGCAATAGCCTAACAAACCGTTGCAATAGCATAATAAACCGTTGCAATAGCCTAATAAACCGTTGCATGAACTGATATTGCAATGGGTTATAATCGTTCCATTTGAATGAGCAACCGTTGCGTAGATAAACCTATTGCAACTGTTGTCGAACCGTTGCCACCGGTCTTCTATTGTAACGGTTATGCAAACCATTGCAACAACCGTTGTCGTAGACCTATTGGCACGGGATCTGATGTAACGACGTCTAAACCGTTGCAATTGGTATTGCGACGGTTTTCCTACCTATTGCAACGCTTTTGTAACCGTTGCCATAGACATATTTTCTAGTAGTGCAATAAACTCCTCTGGGACCAGAGCTGGGCCCACCAGAACTGCTGGGACCGGAACCTTATCATCAAAATCAAACTGAGGCTCCGCTGCTGGTACTGCTGCTCGGGGCTGAGCTCTGCCCTTACCTCGGCCTCTAGCACGGCCTCAGCCTCGCCCTCTGCCCCTTGTGGAAGCTATTGCTGGGGGCTCGGGCTGCTGGTTAGTGGATGAGAAAGCACGTATTCTCGCCATCTGCAAAAGAATAGAGTAGAAATTCAATTAGCATTGAGAAACTAAACCGCACGACATGAAGGAATAAATGTGAAGTTTTTCCTAACTCTATAGCCTCTGGGGGATATATACAGATGTCTCCGTTCCGATCCCTCAGACTCTACTAAGCTTGTCTGTGAACTGTGAGACCCATGTAACCTAGAGCTCTGATACCAACTTGTCACGTCCCGTATTCCCC